GAGAAAGAGGAGAAAGGAGAAATACGGTCTTTTTTGTGTTGTTTGGCAGGATTTCTGGGCAGAATTCGGGAGATTCATTTCTCTCCATAAAAAGAGAAGAAATAAAGAGGCGGGACCCACCATTTTCACCCCCTTTCTCCCCCAAGCAACATAAAAATCTCAATTTCCCTCATGTTTCTTTCTCTCCGATTTCACTTTAACCAAACAAAGATGTAAAGCCATTAAGGAGAGAATTTTTCCCTCATGAATAACAAGCACAACTATAGACCTGTTACCAGACCTGCACTTCTCGCAGCAAAATTCCATCCGTCATGAACTTGATTGAGCAATTACTCCCCACCTTCCTGTCATGCCGGACTTGAAAGCCAACCTCTTTGCCTAGATGAAAACCGAGTTCAAAGGAAACCCGTTTGGCAGTTGCAAGTACAGCAACCCGGCGGGGCTGGGTTACACCAATAATCCCACCTCTTCTAGAATGCAATCCAAATCCAGCTTCATAAAGGAACTGAAAAAAAAAAGATCACACCATTACACCAAAAGGTAAAGAAGAAAGGGAGTACAACGGCTCCAGTTGGTGACCTGATATCAGCAGACTGAACAGAAAAAGTAACTTTTGACTAACTTGATTGGCTGAAATGGATGTTATGAAACACTTTCATTTTAATAACTTCTGTAATTTCAGCCAAATAACCCTTACCAAAAGTGTCCATAATATAACCCATGGAAAAACAAGTAAAAACTAAAGAAATTATCACCTGTGGAACCTGAGTAGTCTTGCCACAGCCAGTCTCACCACAAATAATTACACAAGTGTTATCATTTATTGCTTCCATTATCTCCTGCTCCATCATGACTATTGGAAGGTCTTTCCTTTTGTCTTCAACCTCTTTTGGTCTAAAAACATGCACTACAGTCGGGGCAATTAAAGACCTTTGGGGTGGACAGGCAGTGAGGTTAGCATTCTGTTTTCTGTCAATTTCAAGCTGTCCAAGTCATTTACATAAGGAACAATAAGTTGATATCAAATAACTAGCATGGAACAAAAGAACTCTCAACATTGCTTAGAAGCAATTTGCTTTGAGGCGTAATAGGTAATTTAACTTAAGGCTTATAATATACTCCCAATTTCAAATTAAAAAAGCGCAAATTAACCGGTGTGCCAAGGCTCCCCTACACTCCCAATCTCAAATCATCATTTTCATTTTCATTTACCCCAGTGCCGCAAAGGCTCCCACCTACGGTGGGGTAAGGGGGGTCGGATGTACGCAATCTTACAGAGAGACTATTTCCGGATGACCCATAGTGAAAATCGCGTCCAAAATTGCATGGACTGACTACTGCTTCATAACAAAGAAGAGCAGACAGTTTAGTGAGCCATTTTGCTCCCAATCTCAAATAATTCAAATAATTGTATATTACCTAAATCACTTTCACGAACATCTGGCCATCAAGCAATCCAATAAAAAACATAGTAAATTGATTAAGTTACTCTTTCATGTTTGCTTCACGTTTACTTGTTAGTTTTACTACCTAAAATCAATAAGGGTGCATTTTTCAATTTCTGACCAAAATAATTTTCTCCTTAACCTTACATTTTTTCCTATATGGACATTTTTTAAGAGTGGAGGGAGTATTATAATATATAGATAAAGATGTAACCTTTAATCCTGCCCTTCCATCATCAACGCAACTTGGGGTGGACGGTGGGTATCGCAGAGATTCAGTCCTTGAGGGCTCATTATATTCATCTGTTGTTGCATGCCTAACTGTTGACCAACCTCCATCGGAAACATAAGGTTTAGAGGTTCCTAGACAAGATGATGTCTCAGGCAATGTATCTCCTTTGCTTACTGGTGCGCGCAATATATAGTCATTGATGACAGGAGAAGTTGATTGAATTTCACCATATTCTTGTTCAGCATCACTTAAAATGCTATTAGCATTATTGTTCTTATTTTTCTTAAAGGGTCGATCGCCACTTGGCACTTCTAGTCCTGCTTTAGAATATTGAACTTCTCTTCTTCTCTTATCCCGATTAGTTTCAACCTAATAAAAACAAGAGCAGATGGACTAAATAAGAAATACTTCACTTCATGGCTTGAGTTTAGTGAAAATGATTTGATGTAACATTACCAACCTGGCCCAAGTTTCTTGAGGACATCAAAAGTGAATATGCATCATCCCCAATCCTATACTTCCTGCAATGTAAAACAAAAGACTGCCACTTTAATTACATGAATTCCTAATAACTCATAAAATGAAAGAAGATTACAAGAAAATTAAAAAAAAAAGTAGATCTTATAAAAAAGCAGTTCTTACGCCAAGGTCTCCATGCTTTTAGATAAAAGGATAGCTTTTTCCTTGTCCTCCTGAGTGAGGGTGAAACAATTAACTGAAACGAACGTCCCACATATTTTGATGGAAACAAATAATACTTGGAAAACTAATGATTTAATGAAAGAAACTTCAGAACTGCCAATTGCAAAAACAAAAAACCTTGAGCTTTTCCAACTTCTTCTTCCGTGATTTTATTAGCTTGGAGTTGGAATTGCTTTTCACCTTGCGATTTTTTCTCATCTGACAGCAATTCAATAAAACCATACAGGTCGTATCAAAATATAAAATATCATATCATACAAATGAGAATGAGCAAAATCATTGATACACAGACAGAAACCACACACATAACTAAATTCACTAGGTAACCTATTAAATTCACAAATCCAATATAAAAATCACAACTTCGGTAAGGGATAAGTCATAAGTGTACTATTAATTCACAGGATAATAATTTCAAATTAGTAAATTTGAAGATTACTGACCTTGCAATTTTCGGATTAATCTTCAATAAATATTGCCTACTTTCGGGACTGAAACACTGAACCGCTTAACTCTTGCTACGCTTTTGCAGAGATGAAATGCGTCGTACTCTACTTCTTGCGCGGCTCCAGAGAAAAACGTAAGGTCTGCCGAAATATTTGTGGCTGGTGATGCGCTTGTCCAAGCCAGGTACAGCTGCAACTCTACAAGCCCTGCCTGCTGGGGGCTGCAACCATCAATTCACTTTAATGTGGTTAGTTTTTGCCTGGTATTTTTGCAATTAGTTACAAATGCAATTGTAAAGAACTAAAGATTATACCGTATGTTCTTTCAGGGTGCTGCTAGCTTTCGCTGGGAGTGGATGAAGTAGGTGCTGGCTTAATTCCTCGAAATCCGAAGTGCCCTAGCGATCGATGAAGTAGGGCAGATTACTTATATAAATTGGAGAGAAAGTGCAAACTCCACAGCAACGTGTAACGTGTACCGGCCCCTAACGACATCGTCCTCTTTGCAAAAAAAAAAAAAAAAACTTGCGGTGAATGCACTCATCAACAATAGCCTCGAAGATGGATTAGTCGGAAACCGAAAGTGCAGCGTACAGAGAAGGAAGCGGCATACATGGAAGCCTGCTGCAAAGCTTGACCACGACCAAATTGAGGACGATTTGGCCAGACGCCGCTGCCAATGGAGACCCCTATCCCCTACACGATTGCAAAAATATTATTTAGTAATTTCAGATAGGACACTGAAGTTTAAAGTGGACCATTTAAACACATAAGCCACCTGTTTGGGTTACATTTGGCCCTCCTTCCCCCCCCCATTAAACGCTACCCAACAACTCCTCTGCAACCCTAATAAAAATGAACAACCACTTGCAGCCTCTCAAAGAGATCATATAACAACAATAGAGAAATGGGTGATGGAGGTTCACGTTCGAGGTGGTCTGGTGAAGAGAAATCAACCTCTTTCTCCGTTGAATCAGTGAAGAAACGAAGCAATTTAGAATTCGGAACTCCTAGTCGTTCCACCTATTGTAAATGCAGAAACATGAATGGAATGGTTACAGAAGCTAGACTTTGGACCTCATGGACTGATAAGAATCCTGGGAGGCGATTCTACGGATGCCCATATTATAAGGTAAGTTTGTAAATTGGAGGTCTTGATTATATAGATGATTGGAATTAATATAAGTGTTTTGTAGTGTAGAAGGAGGGGTGTGGTTTCTTTCAATGGCATGATGTGCAATTGACAAATAGGGCGAAAGATGTGATAAATCAACTGAAATGGGAGAACAAAAGGCTTAGGGGTGCACTATGTCAACCAAATGGCAAAGGGGGGATGTTTGATGACAGTGCATGGCTAGAATTTGATACTGAAAGTTGTCAATTTGAAAGTTCATATCAAAGGCTGCTATTTGATAGTACCAACAATGCTGAGGTTATGAATTTGGAAAGGGAAAGGAAGACAATGAGGAACTACTTAGTTGTACTATTATTGTGTGTCCTAGTTGCACTAATTTGTATGTTAACTTAGGTAGAACAATAAAGTAGGTTATGGTGTTGTAATTTTGTTTGATGTATGCATTCTCCTATTGTAAACAGATGAGTACCAATTTGGTTATTTCATATGTATGAATCAGAATGGTATGAAGGTATATGTCATTGTGTATGTTTGAATGTGTTTGTCTGAATGTCTAGGTATTATTGTGTATGGACTGATTGTATGACTTCCACTTACCAATTATAACATAAAAGAGATAAACATAACTTCTTTGAAATTCATGTGTATGGACTGAATAAGAGTAGTTATTTTGGAATACAATAGTAGTTTATCATGGACTGGCCTGAAACTCACAAATAGAGTATTATTGTGGTTTCAAATAACAATCCACTATTATTGTCTGAATTTCAAATAAGTTATTTCCTCTAACTTAGATAATGAACTTCACAGATTACTTAGATATCCATTTTCACAAATAATGACTCACATTATTTAGTCCATACTTGATATCCATTGGAGTCATCTGAAACTCACCTTATTCAGTCCATACTTGATATCCATTGGACTGATCGATCTGAAACTCACAATATTGAGTCCATAGTAAAACAGAACAAAAACATGTTATAATGCAACCATTCACTTTTAAAGCACTTAATATAAAGCAACCATTCAGATAAAGCTTCACATAAAACAACCATCCATTCATATAAAGCTTCATATAAAGCAACCATTCATATAAAGCTTCATATAAAGCAACCATCCATAAAACAAAAAGTTGTTACAGCATTCATATAAATATTCAACCTCAGATTTAGCACATGTAAAACTGATAAAGGGCCTTTGTTCTAAGAGTGAAATGTAAAGCCATAAAGCCAGTGTTGCCACCTACCAGGTGGTTGGAAAGGCTACCAGTTTGTTAAACTAGCACATTGAATCCAAATCAGGTGGTTGGAAAGGCTACCAGTTTGTTAAACTACTTAAACACTTACACAAAAGTACTTATACATGATAATTAATTTCTTTGTTGACTATCACTGGTCCCAGTGCTAGGTTCCCTCCTCCTTTGCACCTTCTATATGTCTCAATTGGCCTGATGTGAGAGCTGGGCTACCCTTCCATTGCAAACCAGGGGCTTTGAAAGGTAGGTTGGTGGGCTGTTGTACATGTGCTCCATCACCCTTAAATGTTATATCTCTGTATCTTGGCTCATTGACAGATTTCTAATTCCGGGCAGCAGCTCTTATTTCCTTCTCATTAGGAATAACATATCTAACTGTAACATCAGGATCATGTGGCATCCCAGCTTGCACCTCAGAAACAACATGTTCACTCCTCATCCCAGGCTGCAAAACCAAGAGGTATAAGAACAACAAAAGTAATCAATCTGATTTTACAACATCCAACTTATATTCACAACCAAGAAAATACTTTACTTTTCTATTCCTTAAGAAATACTCACATTTAAAGTCTTTGCCCCAGTATTAACATCAACATAGCAGCCAAAACCAGTTAAAGTGTTAAGGCTTTTGTTTCTAGCTATTCTTCTTGATTTCAGTTTTGAGGGCCTGGTGGTAGTGTTTGTTGATTTGTCCCTTCCTAGTGGTGGGGGTGATGAAACTGCAGGGGTAAAAGCCTCAAGAACAGTTCTCTTCACACCTTGATTTGCATTGGGCTCTTCATTTGCCTAATACATGAAACATATAAGTAAATTCATAATAACAACAATCTTACAGTAAAACTGAGCATAAGTAAATTTATAAGAACACAGAACACTTACAGAAGTAGCTTGGTTTGGACATTTTGACCTTTTATACCTGATATAATATTAATTCTAGAGAGAAGTGAGAGCTAGAGAGAGAAAGTGAGTGATTATATTTCTCAACTTGGAACCCCCTATAATTAGCCCCTTGGGGTCTATTTATAGGTAAAAATGTGGATTTGGGCCCCTAGCCTTGGGCTTAGGAGGCCCATTACAATAATCATGCCTTCTTTGGGCGAAATAAGGCCACTAATGGGCCGTGTACAATACTTAGTAAATACAATGAAAAATACATTCTGCCTGGACGAAGTCCGGACGATGCGGTCCATGGACGATGCGGTCCATGGACGATGCGGTCCATGGACGATGCGGTTTCTGGGCTTCACCCAAAGAATCCGGGTGATGTCTTCTCTCTTGGACGTTGCGCGCCTATGGCCGATGCGGGTGTCCCGCTGGTGTCTTTCGGGCCGTTGAGTATGTGGGCCATGGGGTCCAGGCCCATATACTCTATCAGGAGTCCCCCACTCTCTGAGCTGAGGTGAAGCCGAAGCGAAAGGGAGTACTTGTTCCTTTCTGGCTGGCCGTTGCGTGAGTCCAAGGTGCTCGGTGGCCGAAGAGGTTCTGCCTTGGTTTTTAGACGAAGGGATTTCTTTACTCGATGGGGACGAAGCGATACGTTCTCTTCTCTCGTAGATGATGCGGTGAATTCTGGCGTGGACGATGCGATGCACGCCTTTAATTTGTCATGCAGTCGAAGCGTTTCTGGCTTGTGGGTTCTTGCTATGGTGAGCCGACGCAGTCCCCCCAGTGTACGCAGCCGTTGCGCACTAGATTTCGCTTTTGGGTTTTTAATTTTGGGCTCTGTGGCCGATGCGATTCATAATGCTATTGAGGTGAATTTTTCGTCTTTTGTTGTTGGTGAGTCGTAGCGCGCCCTCCTTGCTTTAAGGCCATTGTGTTTTCTTTTCTTGTAGCCGATACAGTCCCCCAGTCCCCCACTCCTTTGGCCGAAGAGTATCTCCACAAGGGAGTAATGAGCCGATTCAGTACCTATGCGTTAGTCGTGATTCCAACCCTTAGGCGAACCTGTCCAAGGTAACCCTGTGGGAGAACCCTTGGACGAAGGCCGCAATGCCAGGGTCATCATCGACGATGCGCGCACAGGCGGCCGTAGCGGTCTATTAAGGTTTTGTGAGGACGTAGAGTTCAGGCCGATACGTTCCCCTTTATCGGAAGTATGGGCCGATGCTTGTTTTGGAGCTTGGTAGTAATTGGGCCGTAGCGGTAATTGGCCGATGCCTTGTTCTCTGTAAGGTTGAGTTGGGCCGTAGCGGGTGGCTCTAGGGTGGAATGCGAAAGGTCAAGCCCTGATTGGTTCTGGGGGGAGGTGGCCGTTGTGGTGGCCAATGAGATGGCGCCACGTGTAGTGACCGTTGGAAGGTCTCTATAAATACCCACTTCCTCATTCCGAAGCCACTTCCTCATTTGTGCCTTGCTGTTGTCGAATTGCTGCCCAAGTTTTTCTAGAGAGATAAAGTCCCGAGATTTCCCAAGTGTTCGTCGCCTTCTTCAAATCTTCTAAGGTTAGATATTCTTAATTTTCCTTTGATTTCTTCATATTTTGCTCCTTAGGGTGTTAGATCTAGTGTTCTTTAGGAAAGTCACTTTGATCCGAAAACTACCCTTAGGACGTAGCGATAGTTGTTATGCCGTTCCCTGACGGCCGTCGCGTTCCCTCCCCCGTTGACTTAACAGCTTCCTTAGACGATTCTGCTTGGCCTTTTGACGACGAGGACACATCCCCCGGGGTTGATCTAAGAGTGGTGGAGGCTTTCGTGGTTCAGATGGAGAATACTGCGGATTACCGCACCTCTGTGGACGAGGAGCGTCTAAGCGCCGATGCGGGTTCTCAACGCTCTGGTGAGGACGAAGCGAGCTCCGACCCCAAACTCCGTGGCGACGATGCGGGTGATGCATCCTCGGCTGCTATTCCTTGTCCTCCCCCGCTTACTTCGATCCCTGGTATCGCCCCGTCTTCCTCCAAATCCAAGAAGCGTAAGTCGCGTCGTCGGAAGGGGCTATCCGGTAGTATCTCGCAGCTGGATTTGACGAACCTTTATATCATAATGCCGGAGGGTTCCCAAGGTGAATATCAGGTGGCTCAGCTGTACGTAGGCCCCTATGGGAAGGTGAGGGCACCGAAGCCGACGGACCATGTCTTGGATCCACCCCCCGGTTACTTCGGAGTGTATCCGATGAGCTTCTCCCAGGGTTTAAGGTTCCCTCTACATCCCTTCGTCGGGGAGTATCTCCACATGATAGACCTTCCACCTGCCCTATTAACCCCGAACAGCTATTCCCTTATTGTTGGTTTCCTCATCCGATGCGATGAGCTTGGAATTGAACCGACGACGGCGTTGTTCACAAACTTGTACCGGATCGGCCGGGGCAGCCACGAGAACTGTGTTGGATATGCGGCCCTCCAGCAGCTGCCGAAGAAGAGATCTTTTACTGACCTACCGTCGTCCATTCATGGGTGGAAGAGTAAATTTTGTTTTGTCAAGCTGGCCGATGGGGTATTTTTTCCTTCTCAAGGGCACAACGGCATCTTCAATTTGCACAGCCCACCAAGGAGCCCTGAGATTGATGCTCAAGTGGAGGCGTTCCTGAAGGGTGGGCCGCGGAGCGTCAATACTTACATTACTGAGTTCAAGATAGCAGCTCTAGGGATGATGCGGTACCATATTCCCGGTGACCCTGATTGCGGATTATGGGCGAAGATAACCGGCTACTTTGAGCAGGCCGACGGGCCCTACTTCGGTGTCCCGGCCGATGCCGAAGGTTGATCACTTTCTTTTGACTTACATTATAGTTCGTTGTATTTGTTTTTTCTAACTCTTTTGCTTTTGCTCTTTGCGTCTGTAGATTTCACCATGAGCCGTAAGCTTTTCATGACCCAAGCCAAAAAGATGGTCGCCAAAGAGATGGAAGCCGCCCAACATGCCGAGGCGTCCAAAGGTTCTGGTGACGGCTCCAAGTCTCAGGCCGAAGCGGTGAAGAAGGCTGCCGCGACCAAGAAAAAGAAGAGGTCCGCTGAGGGTCAACAGACCTTGACTGAGGCGGGGTTGGTGCCGGCCCCAGGGGTCAAAAAGATGAGACAAAACCCTGCCCCTGGCGGTGCTGTTGCGGACGTTGCGCAGGCTTCTGTTCCTGGGGAAAATGTCCCTGATGTTCAAGTGATCGAAGATCTGACTCTGGAAGAGGCGTCGGCTGCCCTCATCCCTACGTCTCTGCACCTTGGCAAGAATGTCCAGGCAAGCTCCCGAAGCGGCCGCGACTTGGCCTCCGGACTATATGAGGTGACGGTCCGTTACCCGACGAAGGGCGGGTTATTCAACGAGAGGGTCTCTGGCCATGACGTCTTGTTTCAGGCTATTCCCGATGAGGATAGGGCCTACCTTCGTCGTCAAGGCAAGGAAGTGCGCCTCTTCGATGGCGGGTTGGACTACGTCGTCCAAGTGAGTATACGATCTTGTACTTAGATTTTCTTGCCTTGCTTTCCTTTTCTGACTCTTTATTTTTTCCTTTTACAGGGTGCTTTGATGCTGATGGAGCAGCACCGTCGGCAGGAAGAGGAAATTGTCCGTCTTCGGGAGGCCGAGAAGAAAGCTGCCACGGCCGATGAGGCGTTGGCTTCTCTGGAGCGCCTCCGATCCGAGGTCAGCTCGCTCAAGGCGAAGGCCGATGCGGCCGAGAACAGGGCTGCCGCAGCTGAGGCCAAGCTAGAGGGGGAAGCGGCTTCACGCCGGCTAGCTGAAGAAAAGGCCGAGGAAGCTGGGAAGCTGAAGGCCAAGGCTGAAGAGGCGGCCGAGAAAGCCGTTGATCTTTTCATGGCCGAGGGCTGGAAAGCCGATGAGCATCGCCAGTTCTGCTTCAAGGTGGTGGCCGATCGCTTTCAAGCTTGGTCGCAAGAGGATCCGGCTGGTCAAGCTTTTTGGAAGCAAGAGATGGAGGTCTTCTATGACCTTGGGCAGCGGCGCATGCAAATGCTGGTTTACCGGAGGCTTCGTCGGCGTGTGAAGAATCTGAAACCGCAGGGTATCGGCCTTCCCAGGCTGATGAAGGACCCTGAAGAGGAGTTGAAGCTTCCACTGGCCGAAAGGCAGCGCCCTATTCTGAGCTCCGACGAAGAAAAAGAGCCGTGGACCGAAAGCGACGACTATCTCTTCCGGAGTTCAGCCAAGTCAAAAACCGCCGAAGATGTCGAGGACGATGCCGATAGTGGGGCCGTTGAGGGTGGCCAAGGACAAGCTGTTTAGTGTTTCCTTGTACTTAGTTTTCTTTTTTCATTTGTAGTAGTAGTCTCAATGGCCGAAGCGCCCTCCTGATGTACTTGACATCCGAAATTAATGAACTCTTTTGCCTTTGAATGGATGTGTTGTTGCTTCGTCTTCATCGCCTTAATTTCATATGCGTTTAATTCTCGTGATTTTTGCCAAGTGTCAGAGTTGCCTACACCCCGGTTTGATTGAGACGAAGCGTCCCTCGTCTGTGTATTTATGTAGATTGTTTTCCTTGGAATTTTTCTAAGTGTGGGCACCCGAATATGCCTTGATTGCTTAAGACGATGCGAAGCTTCATCCGGGTGCCTCATGAGGACGATGCGGGTGGCGCAACGTCTTGGGTATGTTGTCCTTTGTCGTAGGGACGATGTGTCTAGTAACGTGTACCTTTGGTTGGAAATTTTTTCTAAGTATCACAATTCCGTTTTGGCGTCTTTTAATTGAGACGTAGCGACCCCCATTCTTTGAAGACGATGCGCCTCGTCGTCCCTTGATGAATTCCATTTTTGCCTTGACAACTTTTCCGAGTCAAGTTTTTGGATCTTAATCCTGAAGGGTTGAGGACGAAGCGATGCGCAGTGGTAGTGCATCGTCTTTGTGGTGATGTGGCTTAGATAATTTGCTAAGTGTCAAGCTTGCCTAGCTGTAGGTGTTTCGCTCCTTTTTATCACTTGGGCTTTGCCACTTGTAGATGATGCGACCCATCGTCCGAGTACTAGAATGTGGTCTCGGTGATTGAGGCCGAAGCGATTTACTCTTGTGATGTCGTGGTCGAGGCCGACGCGTGCACTTCGTATTCCTGCATGGTGATCCTGATATGTACTTAGCCAATTTTGAGGCTTGGTTTTTGTGGGGATTTTATTTTATGCTCGAGGCCGGCGAGTGCGCGGTCCGTCGGCTTCCCTCTTTTTTTCTTTCTTTCTTTTTTTTTTAGGTGGTCGAAGGGTTACTGTCCCTTCGTCCATGTGCGGTAGTTTGTCCGCTACGCTTTTCGCGTGGATTAGTGCGAGGGAGTAAATACGCCCTCGGCTTGGTGTGTCAGTGGCATCTTTTTTGGCCTTTCCACGTCTATCGTCGACGAGGGACCGGACTAGGCATCGTCTTTTGACGGCCGCCCTTTGTGGTCCTGAGCGAAATTTTACTGACAGGTGGAGTTTTTGTAACCTCGGCCTTAATTCAGGCTTGTCGTCCTGCGGTTTCCGCGCGGACGACGCGGTATGCTTCTCCGTTTGAAGACGTCGGACCATGCACACAGGTCCTTCGTCCTACATATCGCCGGCCGATTTGGGTGTTTCACCGCTTGTGCCGATACGATATTTGGGTGCGTTGTCTATGCAACGGCTTTGTAGGCGCGTTGTGGATCGCAACGGCCTTAGGTGCGTTGTTTATTGCAACGGCTTTGGGTGCGTCGTTTATTGCGACGGCTTTAGGTGCGTTGTTTATTGCAACGGCTTTGGGTGCGTCGTTTATTGCGACAGCTTTGAGTCGCATCGGTCCCGGGTGTTTGCACCGCTTAGGCCGATGCGGTCCTTGGGTTTCCCTTTGCTCAAATCTTAAAAGATTGGATGAAACATCATTTTATTCAATAAGTGGCGCTAGGCCGAAGGTGTTCTATTCAACCAATAAGCCTAGGGGTGGGGGACGTTGCCCACTTCACCACTTCTCGAGTTATTGGTAAAATTTCACCAGATGGTGTACATTCCACAATCGTGGTACATCTGACCCATTAGGGTTCTTTAGTCTATAGGTGCCGGCTTTGATGACGGCGCTGATGATGTAGGGCCCTTCAAATTTGACGGCGAGCTTTCCTCCTTCCGTCAGCTTGCTTGCTTCCCTTCGGCGGAGGACGTAGTCCCCCACCTGGAATTCGCGGGAGCGGACCTTGGCGTCGTAGCAGGATTTGACTTGTCGTCTGTAGTTCTCTGCTCTGAGGTAGGCCATCTCCCGCCTTTCGTCGATGAGGTGCAAGTCAATCTTCATGGCTTCTTCATTGGCTTCGGGGTCGTATTGTGTGACCCGTCGGCTGGGGAGGGTGACTTCAGTGGGAGCCTTGGCTTCGAAGCCGTAGCACAAGGAGAATGGTGTTTCCCCAGTGGCCCTCCTTGGGGTAGTTCGATAAGACCATAGGACGTTGGGGAGCTCGTCGACCCAACTTCCGCCTTCTTCTTCAAGCTTCTTCTTCAGCCCCTCCAAGATGGTTCTGTTGGCGTTCTCAACCTGCCCGTTGGCCTGAGGGTAGGCAACGGAAGAGAAGCGGTGCTTGATACCCCATTCTTGGAGGAGGCTTTGGAACGGTTCAGCCTCAAATTGGGTGCCGTTGTCTGATATGATCTCCTGAGGCATGCCGAAGCGGGTGAGGATGTTCTTGTAGACGAACTTTCGACATCGCGCTCCGGTGATGCTTGCGAGTGGTTCGGCCTCGACCCATTTGGTGAAGTAGTCGATGGCGACAATGATGTATCTGTTGTTGCCTGCAGCTCTTGGTAGCGGGCCGACGAGGTCGATGCCCCATCTGGAAAATGGGATGGCAGTGCTGACCGGGGCGTAGTTGACGGCCGGTCGGCCAGGTGCCCTTTGATAGTGTTGGCATGCGCTGCATTTGCGGGCGACTTCAGCACAATCGCGTGCCATCGTTGGCCAAAAGTAGCCTTGGACGACGAGGCGTCGTGACATGCTGAAGGGCCCCTGATGCGATGAACAGACGCCGCAATGCACTTCTTCCATGGCTACTTCGGCCTCATTCTGGTGTAGGCACCGGAGGAGGGTGCCATTGTATGATCTCTTGTAGAGCTTGTCACCCTCAATGACATAGCTTGGCGCCCTGAGTTTGGCGAGTTTAGCCCTCTCCTTGTCTTCAGGTAGTGTGCCGGAGGTGATGTAGGTTGCGATGTCAGTGATCCAATCCTCCGGCTGGTGTTGTATGGAGAGTATAGGGCTAGCGTGGATGCTTGACATGCTCAACTCCTCCACCTTCGCTATCTTGGAGATGTGCTCAGGGATGTCGGAGCTGAGTTTGGAGAGTATGTCGGCCTCGGCGTTCTCTGCCCTTGGGATCTGAGTGATCTCGTGGGTATCGAACGCCTTGAGCAATTCCGCAGCGGCCTCCTTGTACTGCTTCATCCTCCCTTCCTTGGCCTCGTAGGAACCCTCCAGCTGGTTCACCACGAGTTTGGAGTCGCATTTGATTCTGATGTGGCGTGCTTTGAGGCCAGCGGCTAGTCTGAGCCCGCTGAGGAGCGCTTCGTACTCAGCCTCATTGTTGGATACTTTGAAATTGAAGCGGATGGCATAGTATGCTCTGAAACCTTCCGGTGAGATGAGGACGACGCCACCCCCACAAGCTTTGGTGGCCGAGGACCCGTCCGTGTAGAGGGTCCAGGCTTCGTCTGGCTCAACTCCTGTGGTGGTAACGGCTGTCTCCCTTGCCGTGCACTCGGTGACAAAGTCAGCCAAAGCTTGCCCTTTGATAGATGGCCTTGGCTTGATCTCAATCTGGTACTGGCTCAAGAATATTGCCCATTTGATCATCCTTGGGGAGCTGGTTGGGCTCCTCATGAGGGCGCCCAACGGCTGATGCGTGAGAACATGGACGGGGTGAGCCTGGAAATAGTGCCCCAGTTTTTTCACCATGTGGACGATGGCCAGCACCGTCTTCTCAATGGGGGAGTACCTGAGCTCGGCCTCCCGCAGCGTCTTGCTGACGTAGAATATTGCCTTCTGTACCCCGTCATCCTCCCTGATGAGTACAGAGCTGACGGCCGACGTGCTCACTCCTAAGTAAAGGAAGAGAGTCTCGCCGGGTTTGGGCTTGGATAGGACGGGTGGGGAGGCGAGATATTGTTTCAGCTCTTCAAAGGCTTGTTGGCACTCCGTCGTCCATTTGAAGCTGGTGGCCTTCCTCATTATCTGGAAGAAAGGGAGCGATTTTTCCGCAGACTTTGAAAGGAAACGGTTCAGGGCCGCGAGGCGTCCCGTCAGCCGTTGCACTTCTTTGATGTTGCGGGGTGGCTCCATGTTGATAATGGCTTGTATCTTCTCCGGGTTTACTTCAATGCCCCTTCGGCTGACCAGGTAGCCTAGAAATTTACCTCCCTGGACGCCGAAGGTGCATTTCTTCGGGTTAAGCCGAAGGTTGTATCTCTTCATGATCTCGAAGATGCCCCGGAGGTCGTCGGCATGTGTGGTAGATTGTTTGCTTTTGACGATCATGTCATCGACGTATGCTTCCATCGTCCGGCCCAGGACTGCTCTAAAAATCCGGGCTACCATCCTTGTGTAGGTGGCGCCGGAGTTCTTGAGGCCGAAGGCCATGACGAGGTAACAAAAGATCCCCTCCGGAGTCATGAAAGCAGTCTTCTCCGCGTCATCTTCATGCATGGATATCTGGTGGTACCCTCTGAACGCGTCGAGGAACGACATCAACTCGCACCCCACCGTCTCATCCACCAACTGATCAATGTTGGGGAGAGGGAATGGTTCCATTGGGCATGCCTTGTTCAGGTCAGTGTAATCAACACACATTCTGAACGTAGGCGGCTTTGGGGCGAGGACGACGTTCGCCAACCACGTGGGGTACTTCACCTCTTTGATGTGCTTAATGGAGAGCAACATGGCCACCTCGGCCTTGACGAATTCTCTCCTGTCGGCTGAGAGGTAGTGCTTCTTCTGTTTGATGGGGGAGGAGGCCGGGTCGACTGAGAGTCGGTGTGTGATCACCTTTGGGCTGATGCCTGGCATGTCCTCTGGTCCCCATGCGAAGACGACGGCGTACGCTCTCAGGACGGAGAGTATGTCCCTTCGGATATCTTGGGGGAGCTGGGTCCCGATCTTCAGCACACGTTCCGGCCGAGAGACGTCCAACGGAACCTCTTCCACGTCCCCGACCGGTGCGGCTTTTGGTGTGTCTTCTTCGGCCGAGGCGGTGGTGATAGTGTCTATCCGTTCCTCGGCCTCATTGATCTTCCTGGTGAGCTTGAGGTAGCATGTCACGCCCCAGACCGTATCTGAGCACGTGTACAACCGCCGTATGACTAAATGACGTCACTCGCAAGTCAACGCGACTTAGTCACACAAGGCGTCCATGAACATAGTCCATACCATACTCAGTAAGTAAACATACATAACAACATCACATCTTGGGATTGAATGAATAGCGGAAATATTCAATATTCAATCATGGGCCACACATGGCCAAAACGTAGGCATGCAGGCCCAAAACAAATGTATTTATTACAAAGTATCCATGAGCAAGTTTGTAGTTTAAAACAATAAAGGAAGCACGAACCACGTCTTCCTTTGGAATACTTCACGAGCAAAGTGTGGATAGCTAGCCTTAGCTTCAACCTGAAATGGTGGGGCCCCCCGAAGGGGTCAGTACAAGTACCGAGCGAGTAGCAAGCTAAATGTAGAATAACTAACGTTTTAAGTATAAGACCCAAACATAGGGTGATACATATACGTATAGTCCTTCCCCCAAGTTTGAAAATACATATTAGTATGCATACACTTGGAAAATACCCGACCCGTAGGTCATTGTTTATTTGGGAAAATAATAGTAGCCAATATCCTTGACTTAAATCCCAACCCACCCATATACCTATGAGTGTATAGAACTCCTCCTTGTTCCAATAAATTATCATAAGGACACCGCCCGGTCCTAGATCATTAAATGAAATCTTATGAGTTTTGAGGATACACGCCCGATCCTTGGGTACTCCACCCTATAACCGAGTTTTGAGGATAACCGCCCGATCCTTGGGTACTCCACCCTATATAACCGAGTTTTGAGGATAACCGCCCGATCCTTGGGTACTCCACCCTATATAACCGAGTTTTGAGGATAACCGCCCGATCCTTGGGTACTCCACCCTATAACCGAGTTTTGAGGATACACGCCCGATCCCTGGGTACTCCACCCGACCTATGACTTACCACATATCACACTAGATAGGGTCTATATCATAATATTACTAAAGACTAAACCAAGTCTTGGAATTAAATCAATAACTATCAACCTTGACATTTAATCATCATATTCCATGCAATTCCATGCACAATATGCACGCATAGGTTGTACGGGGTCAGCCCCTCCTTCGAACCGGACTTCGGTTCGCGTTTTCGGTGAAATTAAAATGTGGAGGCAGTAGCTTACCCGGCCCCGGGTAGGCCCTATACCCGGCGCCGGGTATGTTCGGAGTTTTGGGTCAACGGCTCGTTGACCCCCGAGTTGACCCCCGAAACGTGATCCGTTTGACCCGAAATTTTTATACAACCTATATCATGTCTAAAACAACCAATAAATGCCATTTTGGTCATCCAAAACATCACAAATGTTTTTATACATTTTTCATATTCTTCACATGCATAATCATGTAGTTTTATTCACATAAGCCTAATTACCTAGGCTAATCACATGCTTAAACTCCTTTAAACATCATTATGAATACTTATAACATTTATTTAGGTAATCTCACACTTAACCCAAGAGTTATAAGACATTAAGCCGTCCACTCACCTCGAATGAGCGTTATGAAGTTCTACCCTTCCCGGTTGAACTCCGGTGAAACTCCGGCAAACTTTGATGAACTCCGGCGACAACTCCGGTAACTCTTTCAACTTCGTGAAAGTTCTTAAATCACCCTTTACAAGTGCCTAACAAGGTTTTAACATCATAAAACCTTAATCAATACAAATAAACCTTAAAAAGTTATTTTCCGGTGAACCGGTCTCTATGGCTTCTAAGTCCGCTCTTGGACTTAAAACCACTCTCCAACCCATTGTTCTACACTTTGGGCATGTAGAACCATCCTAGGGGTTATTCACATGATATATATCTCATATGGTAGGAGAAAAATAAAGGAAAAGTTGTGATAAGGTTATTACCTTAATCACCACACCTTTTCTTCCCTTTTTCCCTTCTTTAAACTCCCTCTTTGGATGCCTTGGACTTGAGCTCGAAATTAGCTATGAAAGTATGGAGTTGCAGAGCTCTTTTACTCCTCTTGGATGCCTTGGGTCGAATGAATGATGGAGGTGAGAGGCAACCCCCTCTTTTTGGCTTATTACACAATGATAGCATGGCATGGACCCTTTCAATGTCCTTTTGATGCCATTCTCTTCAAGTCAACATTGCCTACACCCTCCCATCCCATTCATCCGTCCTCTCCCCTATCATAGCCCACCCAAATTAGTGGGGTGGCCCCCACTTGTGTGGGAGGTCATCCCAATATGTCCAGAACTGTACAATCGGCCCTGAAAGTTGTATCTTTTGGACTGTTTTAAGTATATTTTATTTTATCGGGTCAAATAAAATATATTACATGTCCATAGAAATTATGGATCTTAAGAATGAATGTACATTCCCCAACTTTAATTTTAAAGTCTCCAAAATTCATTTCGGACTGTTATCTGAAGAAATTGTCGGTACTGGTAATTGGGCCCTGTTTGACAAACCGGTCAACCCAATGCCTTTCTTATGGCCCATTATGAATTTCCACCACCATGCAACTATTATCTAGACCAAGATGAATATACCATGTGGTCTCGTGTTATCGGGTTACCCCCGCTCCGAGTGTGGGCCCCACGTGGAATTTACTATTCACGCAAAAGAAATAACAAAAATTTACAACCTCGTAAATTCATTACTAGATAAGTCATGTTCAATACATAATTTACATAAAGGTAATTATATTTGGGGACGGTGTTACAAGTTCACCCCCCCTTATTTGGGATTTCGTCCCCGAAATCAACGTGTCTAATCGAAAAGAAACGGGTATTGCTCCCTCATTGAGACCTCGGTCTCCCAGGTTTCTTCTTCGACTCGATCACTCCTCCAAAGCACCTTCACCATAGGAATCTCCTTGTTCCTAAGCTTCTTTACCTGTTGGCCCACTATCTTTACCGGTTCTACTGCGTACTGCAAGTCCTCTCGGATCTCCACCGGTGGCTTCTCAAGAATATGCGACGGGTCCCGCACATACTTCTTGAGCATCGATACATGAAACACATCATGAATCTTCTCAAGTTCCGGTGTTAACTTGAGACGATAAGCTACGGCCCCAATCCTCTCCAGGATTTCAAACGGACCAATGTATCGGGGGTTAAGCTTACCCCTTGATACGAATCGGATGATACCTTTCCAAGGAGAAATTCTTAGAAAAACTTCATCCCCGACCGCAAACTCTAACGGCCTTCGCCGTTTGTCTGCATAGCTCTTCTGCCGATCTTGGGCAGCCTTAAGTCTGTCACGAATGATTTTCACCTTAGCCTTGGTGATCTCAACAAGTTCTATTCCCTCGAGCTTGGCCTCACCAACCTCGTCCCAACACAATGGTGTCCTACACTTCCTCCCATACAGTGCCTCGTACGGAGGCATGCCAATACTTGCCTGATAACTGTTGTTATAGGCAAACTCCACTAAAGCCAGGTGTTTGTCCCAACTCCCTTGGAACTCCAAGGCACATGCCCTAAGCATGTCTTCCAAAATCTGCATCACCCGCTCAGATTGTCCATCTGTCTGTGGGTGAAAGGCTGTGCTAAACTTCAGTTTAGTACCCAATGATGCTTGAAACTTTGGCCAAAACCTGGATGTGAATCGTGGATCCCTATCCGAGACAATGGATATCGGGACTCCATGCAATCTCACAACCTCTTCCACATATAACTTGGCCAACCTTTCAAGAGGGTAAGTAATGTTGATAGGTAAGAAGTGTGCGCTCTTGGTGAGCCTATCAACCACTACCCAAACTGCGTCGTAGTTATTCACTGTCCGGGGTAGCCCTACCACGAAGTCCATGGTCACATGCTCCCACTTCCATTCTGGAATGGTAAGTGGTTGCAAAAGCCCCGCTGGGTGCTGATGCTCCGCCTTAACTTGTTGGCAAGTAAGGCATCGGCTCACGTATTCTGCGATGTCCCTCTTCATACCTGACCACCAATAACTTTCTTTCAAGTCCCGGTACATCTTAGTACCCCCTGGATGCATGGCATAGGCCGAAGAATGAGCCTCCTCTAGTATGGACCTTTGGAGCACTTCATCCTTTGGTATGCAAACACGATCCTTAAATAACAACAGGCCATCATCACGTATACGAAAGTTCTCAACGGGTCCCTCAAGGATTCGTTCACGGATCCTCTGACATTCCTCATCAACGGCCTGACATCTACTGATCTCACTCAGCAACGTAGGCCTAACCTCGAATCTAGCAATGAGGGTCCCACACGCGGACACCTCTACGCGTGCCCTCAATGCCTGTAGACATGTGAGTAACGTCCCTGACGTACTCTTCCTGCTCAGTGCATCGGCCACTACATTGGCCTTTCCGGGATGGTACTCGATGATCAAGTCGTAGTCCTTGATCAACTCCATCCATCTCCTCTGTCTCATATTCAACTCTTTCTGAGTGAATACATATTTTAAGCTCTTATGATCGGTATAAATGTGACATGTCTCCCCGTAGAGATAATGCCTCCAAATTTTCAGTGCAAACACCACCGCCCCCAACTCTAGATCGTGAGTAGGGTAGTTCACTTCATGTTTCCTCAATTGCCTTGAAGCGTAGGCAATCACCTTACCCCTTTGCATCAACACACACCCAAGTCCTTGGATGCTAGCATCGCTATAGATATCGTACCCTATCCCCTGCTTGGGTAGAGTAAGAACTGGTGCCTCGGTGAGTCGTTTCTTCAGTTCAAGAAACCCTTTCTCACATTTGCCATCCCATATAAACTTAGCCCCCTTCTTTGTGAGCTTCGTCAATGGAGATGCCAACACGGAAAATTTCTCTACGAACTTACGATAGTATCCCGCTAGGCCAAGGAAACTACGTATTTCTTTCACATTTTTGGGTCTCTCCCAATCAATGATGGCTTTTATCTTGGCGTTATCCACAGCAACGCCCGAACCGGATATGACATGCCCGAGAAAGCCAATCTCTTTAAGCCAAAATTCACATTTGGAGAACTTGGCAAAGAGTTGTTTTTCTCTAAGTCGTTCAAGTACAAGTCTCAAGTGGCATTCATGCTCCTCCTCGTTCTGGGAGTATATCAAGATGTCATCAATGAATACTATCACAAATTGATGTAAGTATTCACTAAACACTCGGTTCATCAAGTCCATGAATGCTGCCGGTGCATTGGTTAACCCAAATGACATCACAAGAAACTCATAGTGACCATATCTAGTGCGAAATGCACTCTTGGGTATGTCACTCTCCTTGATCTTCAACTGATGATAACCCGACCTCAAATCAATCTTTGAGAACACCATAGCCCCCCGAAGTTGATCGAACAAGTCATCAATCCTCGGTAAAGGATACCTATTCTTGATTGTGACCTTGTTCAACTGTCGGTAGTCTATGCACATTCTCAATGTACCATCCTTCTTCTTCACGAAGAGTACCGGTGCTCCCCACGGTGAATGACTAGGTCTAATGAAGCCGTTGTCCAATAGCTCTTGCAATTGGTCCTTCAATTCTTGAAGCTCTGCCGGTGCCATTCGATAAGGAGGAATCGAAATGGGTTTTGTTCCCGGCTCTACTTCGATCACAAACTCGATCTCTCTATCGGGTGGAAGTCCCGGCAAGTCTTGGGGAAAGACATCCGGATACTTGCACACGACGCGTACATCGTTGATGTCAGCCTCCTACTTTGTTTCGTCAACCACGTAGGCAAGGTATGCGTGACATCCCTTCTTCATCATCTTCCGTGCCCTCATCACGGATATGATACAGCTATGAGATCCTCCCCGATCTCCCTCGAAACGTAGAGCGTTTCCATCAGCGTCTTCGAGCTCTAACACCTTGGCGTAGCAATCTACCCGAGCATGATACTTCTCGAGCCAATCCATCCCCAGGATTGCATCGAATTCCAACATACTTAGAGGTACAAAGTCACAAGTCAAGGGTTGACCCGTTACTTCTACCTCACACGATGGATAATAGTGTTTCCTCTCCACATCGTCTCCCAACGGTGTAGAGACCAACAAGGGTTGGGTCATTGCTATCAACGGTACGCCTAAACTTTCGGCAAACGCTTCACTCACGAATGAACGTTGTGCCCCGGTATCAATGAGAATTCTTGCGTTTCTACCATTGATCTTTAAGGTTCCTACATATATAAGTCATGTAAGACACACTACACACGTACCGGGTCGAAAATAGGGCTAAACGAAAATTTTTCGGACGAAAATACACTGGACCGGCGCCGGGTATAGGCCTGGCCGGCGCCGGGTAAGCTACTGGAATCGAAAAGTGGCAAAAGTGAACTGGGCCGGCGCCGGGTATGGCCCAGACCGGCGCCGGTTCACCCCTGGAGCGAAATTTCAGAAAATTTTCCCCGGACCGGCGCCGGGTTGCCCCCCTGGCCGGCGCCGGGTAAGCTACTGGATAGCACCCTCCGGGAAATTTTTCCGGACCGGCGCCGGGTTGCCCCCCTGGCCGGCGCCGGGTGAGCTACTGCCAGCTTCGTTTTTCAACCGAAAACGAGCCGAAAATGCCGTCGGTTAACCCGTACATGCACCCTAGAGCTTATAACATGTATGTACATGAAAAATACAAGTGTGTACAAGGGATTACCTGCAACGGAGTCGGGGTTGGCCCGGGCATCGGCCTCGGTCATCGCGTAGACCCTCGCTTGGGCCCCGCCTTGGTTAACGGACGCGGCATTGCTTGTTGATGCGCCGCCTCTTCCCGTGCCACCGTGCGACGGTCCCGCACGGTTCCTTCCCGTCATGGCCCCTCCCCCGGCTCCCGATGCACTCTCTTGCATTAATTGAGGGCAGTTGGCCTTCATATGGCCCGCATTCCCGCATTTAAAACATCTCGGTGGTTCATTGCACTTCCCAAAGTGCTGTTTTGAGCAATTGGGACATCTAGGTGCCCCCGGGTTTTGTGGCCTAGGTCCGTGCCACCTCGCGTCCCTATTCTTCTTTGCCGGTGGAGCCGGTGCCTTGAATGAGCCACCACCACCACCACCGTGGTTGTTCCTTCGGGAATGATTGGGCGGCCCCGAACTATTCCACTTCCTCTTCTTTGCCTCTTCGGCATCTCTTGCTTTCCTTTCATTCCACTGGGCCTCCCCCAGCATGCCTTGTTCTACCACCTCACTAAAAGTCATGAGGCGTGAGTACGTAGCACGATCTCGGATGTCTAAGAGTAAAGCATCCCAGAAGTGCTCAGTCATGCGGTCCTCATCAATCGCATACTCCGGTAAGAACCTAGCCAAGGTTCTAAACTCTTGCTCTAGTTGTTTAACGGTGCAACCCTCCTTCTGCTTGAGGTTGGTATACTCCCTCCTTTTCACATTAACCTCGAAATCGGAGTAGTATTGGGCATAAAATTCCCGCTCAAAATTCTCCCATGAGATGTCCCCGCGGTATTTCCTTTCCACACCTTCCCACCATGTGGAAGCCATTCCCTCAAGCAACCGTGAAGCGACAGTTAACTTCACGTCCGGAGTAATTTGCATGTCTCTCGATGCATCCTTCACCTTCTTGATCCAATCGGCGGCAACGGTAATGTCGCCGGTGCCGTCAAAGGACCTACACCCCAAGGCCCTAGCCTCCTTGAGGTATTTGGAGATTCTCACCACAAAACCTCCTTCATGCCCACCTTGTGGCACCACAGGTGTGGCCCTTGAAGCTCCCCGGCTTCCTTGAGCCGAAACACCTTGAGAAGCACGCCTCGCTTGGCGTCTCATGTCTCTCCTCTGTTTCTCCTTTTGATACCACTCTAGAAGTTCCCCCATTTGGGCAAACCGGGCATCACTCTCATCATCATTCTCATCATCGGTATGAAAATCACCCCCATCGTATGGGGTCTCCTCGTGCCCTGTTTCGGGAACATAAGTGGAGTCGTAGTTCTCGGTGCTAGTCTCGTACACCGAACTCACGTGGCCATCACTCACTGTTTGGGCTCGGTGGCCCCCACGACCCCCACGGCCTCCACGGCCTCCTCTTCCACCTCTGGAGCTTCGAGATGCAGCCCGGCTAGCTTCAACAGAAGCTATCGGTGCTTGCCCTCCCGGATTGTTTCTGGTCTGCATGCGTCTACGCTCCATTTCTGAAAAGGAATTTGGACGAGTCGTTAGACTCCAATCAATGTCAATTGACGGAAAACGTTATAGACACGTATTGGCCCGAGTCACCGCCATACCAATTGTTAAGGGTACCATCTTAACAACCAGAGACCTTGCAACTTAGGTAACAATAGTTCTATAAGCGTCAAAATACAATGCTCATGGTTTTCGGTAAAATTCTTTTGTAAAATCTCTTGTGAGAGGTTGATTACATAGTTTAGAAACTGAGATGGCTCTGATACCACTTAATTGTCACGCCCCAGACCGTATCTGAGCACGTGTACAACCGCCGTATGACTAAATGACGTCACTCGCAAGTCAACGCGACTTAGTCACACATGGCGTCCATGAACATAGTCCATACCATACTCAGTAAGTAAACATACATAACAACATCACATCTTGGGATTGAATGAATAGCGGAAATATTCAATATTCAATCATGGGCCACACATGGCCAAAACGTAGGCACGCAGGCCCAAAACAAATGTATTTATTACAAAGTATCCATGAGCAAGTTTGTAGTTTAAAACAATAAAGGAAGCACGAACCACGTCTTCCTTTGGAATACTTCACGAGCAAAGTGTGGATAGCTAGCCTTAGCTTCAACCTGAAATGGTGGGGCCCCCCGAAGGGGTCAGTACAAGTACCGAGCGAGTAGCAAGCTAAATGTAGAATAACTAACGTTTTAAGTATAAGACCCAAACATAGGGTGATACATATACGTATAGTCCTTCCCCCAAGTTTGAAAATACATATTAGTATGCATACACTTGGAAAATACCCGACCCGTAGGTCATTGTTTATTTGGGAAAATAATAGTAGCCAATATCCTTGACTTAAATCCCAACCCACCCATATACCTATGAGTGTATAGAACTCCTCCTTGTTCCAATAAATTATCATAAGGACACCGCCCGGTCCTAGATCATTAAATGAAATCTTATGAGTTTTGAGGATACACGCCCGATCCTTGGGTACTCCACCCTATAACCGAGTTTTGAGGATAACCGCCCGATCCTTGGGTACTCCACCCTATATAACCGAGTTTTGAGGATAACCGCCCGATCCTTGGGTACTCCACCCTATATAACCGAGTTTTGAGGATAACCGCCCGATCCTTGGGTACTCCACCCTATAACCGAGTTTTGAGGATACACGCCCGATCCCTGGGTACTCCACCCGACCTATGACTTACCACATATCACACTAGATAGGGTCTATATCATAATATTACTAAAGACTAAACCAAGTCTTGGAATTAAATCAATAACTATCAACCTTGACATTTAATCATCATATTCCATGCAATTCCATGCACAATATACACGCATAGGTTGTACGGGGTCAGCCCCTCCTTCGAACCGGACTTCGGTTCGCGTTTTCGGTGAAATTAAAATGTGGAGGCAGTAGCTTACCCGGCCCCGGGTAGGCCCTATACCCGGCGCCGGGTATGTTCGGAGTTTTGGGTCAACGGCTCGTTGACCCCCGAGTTGACCCCCGAAACGTGATCCGTTTGACCCGAAATTTTTATACAACCTATATCATGTCTAAAACAACCAATAAATGCCATTTTGGTCATCCAAAACATCACAAATGTTTTTATACATTTTTCATATTCTTCACATGCATAATCATGTAGTTTTATTCACATAAGCCTAATTACCTAGGCTAATCACATGCTTAAACTCCTTTAAACATCATTATGAATACTTATAACATTTATTTAGGTAATCTCACACTTAACCCAAGAGTTATAAGACATTAAGCCGTCCACTCACCTCGAATGAGCGTTATGAAGTTCTACCCTTCCCGGTTGAACTCCGGTGAAACTCCGGCAAACTTTGATGAACTCCGGCGACAACTCCGGTAACTCTTTCAACTTCGTGAAAGTTCTTAAATCACCCTTTACAAGTGCCTAACAAGGTTTTAACATCATAAAACCTTAATCAATACAAATAACCCTTAAAAGGTTATTTTCCGGTGAACCGGTCTCTATGGCTTCTAAGTCCGCTCTTGGACTTAAAACCACTCTCCAACCCATTGTTCTACACTTTGGGCATGTAGAACCATCCTAGGGGTTATTCACATGATATATATCTCATATGGTAGGAGAAAAATAAAGGAAAAGTTGTGATAAGGTTATTACCTTAATCACCACACCTTTTCTTCCCTTTTTCCCTTCTTTAAACTCCCTCTTTGGATGCCTTGGACTTGAGCTCGAAATTAGCTGTGAAAGTATGGAGTTGCAGAGCTCTTTTACTCCTCTTGGATGCCTTGGGTCGAATGAATGATGGAGGTGAGAGGCAACCCCCTCTTTTTGGCTTATTACACAATGATAGCATGGCATGGACCCTTTCAATGTCCTTTTGATGCCATTCTCTTCAAGTCAACATTGCCTACACCCTCCCATCCCATTCATCCGTCCTCTCCCCTATCATAGCCCACCCAAATTAGTGGGGTGGCCCCCACTTGTGTGGGAGGTCATCCCAATATGTCCAGAACTGTACAATCGGCCCTGAAAGTTGTATCTTTCGGACTGTTTTAAGTATATTTTATTTTATCGGGTCAAATAAAATATATTACATGTCCATAGAAATTATGGATCTTAAGAATGAATGTACATTCCCCAACTTTAATTTTAAAGTCTCCAAAATTCATTTCGGACTGTTATCTGAAGAAATTGTCGGTACTGGTAATTGGGCCCTGTTTGACAAACTGGTCAACCCAATGCCTTTCTTATGGCCCATTATGAATTTCCGCCACCATGTAACTATTATCTAGACCAAGATGAATATACCATGTGGTCTCGTGTTATCGGGTTACCCCCGCTCCGAGTGTGGGCCCCACGTGGAATTTACTATTCACGCAAAAGAAATAACAAAAATTTACAACCTCGTAAATTCATTACTAGATAAGTCATGTTCAATACATAATTTACATAAAGGTAATTATATTTGGGGACGGTGTTACATAGCAAGCCCTGGCTATCTTCTGATTTCCTCTGGCATAGCCGATGCCGTCCTTGGTGGGAAACTTGAGGCATAGATGTCTCATGGAGATGATGGCCTCAAGGTCCTCCAAGGCCGGTCGGCCCCAGATCATGTTGTGGGCGCTGTCCAGATTGACGACCACGAACTCCATATCAATCTTCGCCTGATAGGTACCGTCACCGACCACAACGGGAAGCACTATCGTGCCCTCGGTGAAGCCGGATAACGGAGTCCGTATCGGCCGGAGCTCGGTTTTCTTCAGCTTCAGCTGCCTGAATGTATCAACGTACATCACGTTGACGGAGTTGCCCGTGTCGATGTAGTTGCGGTGGATGATGTTGTCGCCAATCTCGCATTTGACGACGAGGGCGTCTCTGTGGGGCAGAGGGCCAAAGGGGAGGTCCTTGTCGGTGAAGGTGATGGCCTCCACGTGCCGTCGCTTCGGCTGAGGGGGGGCGTGGGACACCTCACCAACGTATAGGGACTGAGCCCATTTTTTCCGTTGGGTAGCCGAGTCCCCCCTGTGTTCCCGCCGACGATGATGTGAATGTGGTGCTTCTTCTGGCGGGGTTCTTCCTCGTCCTCATCTTCACTGAGGGCGCCGATCTCCCTCTTTTTCCCGGAGGATCCTTCCCCCCTTTTGCCAGGGTTAACCCAAGTGTTACTCTTGGGGACACCCTTGACAAATTGGGAAAGTTCCCCCTATCGGACTAGGCCGTCGATGTGCCTCTTCAGGGTGGTGCAATCCTCGGTCTTGTGGGATGTCTGGCGGTGGTATTTGCAATATGTCCCTCCCTTGTGGACCGCAAATATCTCCTCCTCTGACCTGGGGTCCTTCACAATGAGGCCCTGCGCCTCCGCGTGGTCAAGGACGACGTTCACCGGGTGGGTGAGGGGGATGCGTTGTGCCTCTAACTTTGGACGCCATGAACGATCCTCTCTTCGCTGTCCGCCTTGCTCCTGGTGTGCCCTCTTTGGCTGGTTCTGTCCTTTGTTGGCCGGCGCGTGGTGGGGGTTGGACGAGGAGTCCTTCTTCTGTTGCTTCTCCCCACCCTTCTTCTGGCTCAGGAGCTCGTCGGCATCAGCGTGCCTATCTCCGCGTCGGAGCGCCGCGAGGTATGACCGCGGGGGCTCAGTGAACAGACTTCGGGCGAAGTGGCTCGGCCGAAGTGCTCCGCGGAGGAAGGCCAGGAGGGTGCGTTCATCAGCTCCTTCACATTCGTCCACCTCCCTCGTCCAGCGATCGAGGAAGGTTCGGAGCGTCTCCTCCGGTTGTTGTTTGATGGTCAGGAGATGAGCGAAATGCTTCTTCGCGCGTTTCCTCCCGGCAAAGTGTGTGAGGAAGTGTTGAGCAAGGTCCTGCCATGAGTCGATGCTTCCCTCCGGAAGGTTGTTGAACCAATCGTACGCTGGTCCCTCCAAGGTGGATAGGAACCAGCGACACATGTACTCCTCCGAAGCGTTGGTCATCATCATATTGTTCTGATAATGGGTGAAGTGCTCCTGGGGATCAGTGCGGCCGTCATATGGCTTGATCGGGTTTCCCTTATACTTCTCTGGGATGGGGGCAGAGACCACCCTCGCGGAGAAGGGGGTCCTTGTTCTTATCTGGATGACGGGCTCGTCACGTCGGTCGGCCAATTCCCTTTCCAGAGCGCTGACCTTGTTCAGGAGCGCGTCGTAGTTGGGATGCTGGGATGTATGAGCCGCTGCGCGCCCTGCGGCCTCCTGGGCCTCCAGGCGGGCGATGATCTCATCCCTTGGATCCGCGTTGGCCGCGGCGCCACCCAGAGGGGTCTGGATCCGGGCCGCGTGGGCCAGGTTGAGTTGGTGACGCGCATCGTCATCATTCAGCTTTCCCTTTCCTTTGTCAGGTCGGGGCCGATCCGTTGTCCGGGAAACAGACCCAAAGCTTTCCTTTGGCGACCCCGGCTCGTGGTTACCCAACCGATCTGCCACCCTTCCCGTAGGTACCCGACGGCTCGCGATGTCACCCAGCCTGTTGAAGGCCGAGATTTTACCGCGAGGTTGGGCCGGTGTATCCCGGGTAGGCGAGGCAGTATGGGAATGGGTGTCCACGGCGAGGACGTCCTCGTTGTCGCCGAAGAAGGTGACGCCTTGTGGACGAGGCGGTGGCGGCGGCACCGTCGCGACCTCCCCAGTTGCAGGGGTGTTGTTTTCCCCGGTCTTTGCGACAAGAGCGCTGACCACGTTGGGGTCCTGGAGGATGCTTGCAACGATGGCCGATAATGCGGCCGGGTTGATCTGGGGAGCAGCAGGGTGAGAAGCCTGCTGCCCTGAAGTGCGATCAGCATTGCGTCTGTCTTCGAGTCCGATGCGAGCATCCGGAGCAGTCTTGTTGAGCTGGGTGCGAAGGTCAGCCATGGCGTGCTCGACCTCCTGAGCGTTCTCATCCTGGATGATGAGATCATTAGGGACGTTGTCAGCAACGTTTCCCTGCCCTTCCTGGTTCAGAGGTGCGTTCCTACCAGTGTTCTTTGACCTGGTTCTTGTCATTCTGTTGCGTCTAGTAGCGACGAGGGGTACTCACTTGATCTGTTCTAAGCTCTCAACGAGAGCACCAAATGATAGAGTATTAATTCTAGAGAGAAGTGAGAGCTAGAGAGAGAAAGTGAGTGATTATATTTCTCAACTTGGAACCCCCTATAATTAGCCCCTTGGGGTCTATTTATAGGTAAAAATGTGGATTTGGGCCCCTAGCCTTGAGCTTAGGAGGCCCATTACAATAATCATGCCTTCTTTGGGCGAAATAAGGCCACTAATGGGCCGTGTACAATACTTAGTAAATACAATGAAAAATACATTCTGCCTGGACGAAGTCCGGACGATGCGGTCCATGGACGATGCGGTCCATGGACGATGCGGTTTCTGGGCTTCACCCAAAGAATCCGGGTGATGTCTTCTCTCTTGGACGTTGCGCGCCTATGGCCGATGCGGGTGTCCCGCTGGTGTCTTTCGGGCCGTTGAGTATGTGGGTCATGGGGTCCAGGCCCATATACTCTATCAATACCCCTTTTGATGACAGATCCCACAAGTTTGCACTTGGCTTCTTTTTGAAGCTTTTTGAGCTGTGACAGGTTGTTGGTTTGAAGTACATGATGATGATTTGCCCTCAGTAGATGACCTTACCATAATTTTTTAGGTCTATCTGGTAAACTTGGAACTGGGGGAGGTTCATTTGCTTCATAGTCCTCAACTTTCATGAAAACTTTACCAGGAACTGGTTGCAAATAATTCTGATATGCTGACTTGTATGTTGATCTGTGATACCACTTTGAAATGAATGACATGGGATCTAACTTCTTATGGTACAAAGCACATATGGCATGTAGACATGGTATTCCTGTAAGTTCTCATGCCTTACAACTACATACCATCTTATCCAAAACAACCGAGTGTTTGTCAGCTCCCTCACCTATCTCAAACCCCATATCACCATTGAATATTATAGTACAACTTCTTGCAGCCTCCTTATTGTCTTGATAGTATTCCATGCATGTAGGAGACCATTCATTTATCCATTTCTCTTGAATGCCCTGAAACTCAGAAATCCTCTACATTGCCTTCAACCTGATGTCGTCTAGCATGCTAACAATTGGTTTTCTTCTTGCTTCCTGGATCCATGAGTTGAATGACTCAGTTATATTATTATAAACAATCCAACACTGACTTTTGTTACTAAAATATGCACGACACCATGTTTGGATTGGATACTTCAACACAATAGAGGCTGCTTCTTGGCTAAGCTTTCCTAATTTTTTCAAATTCATTTCCAACTCTTCTTCATATGTGCTCCATGCACAAATCCAAAATCTCTTACAAAATTGATTTCCTCTCCATTTCTTGGACCAGTTAGCATAAACATGCCTAACACAATACCTGTGCTCTGCATCAGGTATAATCTCTTGAGCAACAATTATTAAACCCTCTTGCATGTCAGAGATTAGGGTTAACTCAGCACTAGTGTGAAGCTCTAGCTCCTGAACTAGCCAAGTGAGAAATCATCTCCAGTTAGACTTGTTTTCTTTGTCTATTACAGCCCAAGCAATTGGAACAATTTTTCCATCTCCATCCACACCTACTGCACTAAGCAAGTTTCCCTTACAAACTCCCTTTAAAAAGCAACCATCAACCCCAATTATTCTTCTACAACCACTCATCCAGTTTCTCCTCAAAGCATCAAAGCAAATAAACATTCTTTTAAAGACTCTCCTCCCATCTTTCAAGGATTGACTGCACAGTTCAATTTCAGCTTTTGATCCAGGATTGCTTCTCTTTATAGTAGCAGCATATGCCTCCAGGTAACCAAA